ATATAATCAGCATTTTACCTTCTGAATGTCAAACATGATATATTCAAGAGCGAAGATCACCACAGATAAATGGACTTTTGTTCTTACCGGATGATGTGATAAGACTACATATAAAGATTACGAGGTTATACCAGGAGAAATCATGACCACCTAACATTGACGGGTTGTCTTGGACTCATGGATGTAAAGTGAAATAGAAGAGTAGAAAAGGAGATTTAGTGGGAACGAAAGAGCAAAAACAAATTATTTCATTTTATTTTATGTGAAGCTGTTTAACTAGGCACAAAACTTAAGAAATTAAAGAGAACTTTTGACAAGTAAAGTATATGCAAAGTACCAAGATTACCCATTTAAATGAGTAGTGTTGAGAGTTCACGTGAAACCACAGGAGAGCTGTGATTTTCCCAAATGACCAAGTAGCTGCTTGGTTTCTATTTCCCCTTCCGAGGTTCTCTTTATACAGCAAATGAAATGGAGAGCCAAAGAGCTTCTCTCCTTCATACCTCTCTATTTTTACCCAGCAAAAGACTTGATTTCTCCTTTATAAATGGTGTTTGGGATCCTTGTCTTGCTATCATCTACACCGTCTTGGACTAAATCCCAATATATCGTTCCTTTCATAAAATAGGGAGTAATAGGCACATCCCCCACCTGATGTGCCTAAGTAAATTTCAAAATAAGATTGTTCATGATTCCCCCGACCCACAGCAGTGGTCTTGGCTAATAAATCCCATCAAATATAAGTAACAATTCAATCCTTCACATGGCTGATTTAAAGCCAAGTGTTCAGCTGTCTTTCCACTTCAAAAGTCATTCCATTTTCCAATATTACATCTTTTCCTATATCATGTTGTCCAACAAAAACAGCGGCAGCAGCTATACTAATAGATATGCTGCAATGCTTCCTCAAATATGTGACCAAATTAAGATGTAAAGGATTACTTAGGATTCACCCTTCTTATGCACTAACTTTAGTGGACTTGCTCCATCAATTTATACTCCTTTGATGCTCACATATATCTTATTTGTTCCTACAACATGTAACCAAGTTTAACTTGGTCTTTCACCTTATACAACCCCACAAATACGACACATACAATGAGCTGTCCCCTATATATAGTTCTTGGGTTGTGTCACTGTACATGCTTCATTAAGGTTTTAATTGGTCCAAATAAATGTCCAGAATTTACGCGGCTTTACATGACTTTAATTTGAATATCTTCTTACTTATTATCCTCAAAAGGCTCCAAACAAGAATTAAATTTCATGTTCCACATCTTGAATCATATATTTTTTTGATAACCGAGAAATCCGTCTGTGACCCGCCCGTTGGACCAATCACATCCTTCTAAACTCGGTGGATAATGGGCCCGTCCCTCTACCCTTCTCCACTTAAATACCAGGCTTCGCTTTGCATGGTGTGGGGCTTGAACCTGCGACCTAAGCCACAAATCCTCCACCTCTGTGTTTATTCCAATTTCTTTCTACCACACGAAATGCTCTCTTTTCAAGTGTTTAGCTTTTCTTGCATAGTTGAGTTTAATTTATTAAAACTCTGAAAAATGTGAAATGATGAATTGACTTTGCCTTCCATTGTATTAAATTTGGTTTATTACGTTGAAATTGTTTGACTACTAGGCTAAGCCATTAGTTTCTTTGCTTTTGCTTTTCTTGTTCTTTTACTATCAGGAGTTTAGCCTAGTCAAACAGACCCAGCATTTGAAGCAATATGTCGTGCATCACACTACCTGTTGGAAATCTTCCAGAAAATATACTTCATCATGAACACTTGTAGGGAATTCCCATAGCTTGAGAAGCGTCAAAAGACACTGTCCTTTAACACAAACCTGCTAGTGGCATAGAGTCTACAAATAGATTATGGTATTTGGTCGATGTTGGATTAATTCGATAAACTAATGGGCACTAAACTGAAACTAATCCATCTTTCCAATAACAGCTTGTTGTAATCTAAAACATCCTATAATGGGAGGTTTTGCCTCAATTTATAAAAAAAAAAAAACCTATATTCACAAATGAAAAAAAATATTGAGGCAAAACCCCCAAAATTCCTTTGTTTGGCACGAATGAAATGGTAAACACAAGGAATACACTCATTTGGTCAAACAGAAAAGAGAAAGGATTCTATGATCAATTAAACTATCTGTTCAAATTTACACTGCAAATTCTCGCATAATCCAAACAGGGTTTCACTATATTATGAATATTTATGTTATCGAAAAATCTCAAATTACCATAACATTGCAGCAGATGGATTATAAAAGAATGCAAATCAGAAAAGATACATAAGGAGGAAAAAAAAAACAATCAGTTCAAAAGCAAATCAGCAGTGTTTACTTTAGCATATAGAAGCAGAGATATTACCTGAATATAGAAAAATCAGCAATGGTGCAGAAGTGATTTTTGATGGAGAGACACAGGAGGGTAACTGAGTATATATTCGCTCTGTCCATTTTTAATTGTCGTTTTTCGAAAGTTAATTTGATTAATTTTTAAAGTTAAATTAGATTACATTAATTCAACATTTTAAACAAAAAAAATTAGATATTCAAAAATTATGCGAAAAATACTATAAATTCCAAATTTTTGCATATCAATATGATGAAGAAATACATCATAAAATGTTAGTTAAAGTTATTATCGTTTCACTCTAAAAAAAGAAAATTATGACAATTAAAAAGGGACGAGATTGTATATTATAGAGATTATTGAGAAAGAAGAAAAGAAATGCCCAATGGAAAAGCAGAAATTCTAGAAAAGATGTACTTTTGTATTTGCGTTAACTTAATCTTTTTTTTATACAATAAATAATAAATTCAATAAGATGTAACCTAATTGGGGTATTTTATCACCGCGTGAAATGCGGGCAATATACCTAGTTATTACATAAATGTATTGTTTTAGATTAATTACTACTCTCTTTTGTGGGCTATTTAAAAGGCGATTACCCTTGATCGTAACACAGTATATAAGACTCATAATTCAGGTAATTCAATCTTTCGTGTGTAAGGTTATCCAGAACAGGTCTTTCCTTTGCGGATCCATGGAGTTTTTGTTTTGGTTACAAAAAGTGCTTCTTTGCTCGCTTACATCGCCTCAACTCGAGTTTTCGCTATAGGATTGAGTGAGATGACGAGAGCTAATTAGAAATCTAGTGGGCGGAAGCAACATCATTTCCCAATTTATCATTACTGTTTATATTAGTTGCAAACTTTGTCTACATGAAGATTTTGAATCATGAATTTAACGTTAATTTTTGTTTTATTTTTCAAGATAGAACTTAATTGGCTTCATATTTGAAACTAAATCAATATCATATATTGTATTGGTATCATATAATTTCACTTAATAGATACTAAATTAATAATATATATATATATATATATATATATGGTATCATCAAGGTTTCTTGTTCAGAAATTACTAGTCAATGATACTATAAGAGTATATGTATATTGTTGTGGTATCACCAATACAATATATATATACTGATTTAGTATCAATTATTAAGCGAAATTATTTGTCTTAATGATACCAATACGGCATATGATAATTAATTTTAGTATCAGTTAAGCGAAATTAGTTGAGGATAGATAGTGTAATTATTTAATAGGATATGAATGTAAAAGGGTATATATCTGTAATTATTTTGTTTTTATGAGATATTTGCTTAGTTTTTCTTTCTCTTATTATTTTGAGTTTGATAGCCCATTTATTTAGTTTTTATGATACTTTAAGTAAATCATTTGTCAACCAACGATTAAATCAAAATAGGTCCATATTATATTTCAATTATTTCTATTCAAAAAATCAAAGCAGATTCGATTTTCTTTGTCGTAGAATATTCACTTAAAAAATTAATCAAAAATTGATTCAGGAATCAACTAGAATTTTGTCCAGAAAAAGTTGTTTTTTGTCACAGTATTAAAATAATATTAAATTTTTTATTTCAGACTAAATGATCATGAAAGCTAATTAGATAAAAAAAAATTACTTTTAAAAAAGAAAATAAAATTAAATGACTTTACTGATTATTTACTACAAGTTAAATGATTATCTAGAAATTCAACTCAATGGATAGAGCTACACTGATTGAATTATATTTTATAGGTAAAACACTAGTTGTACATTTACTTGTAGAAAACAAAAATCAATTATCAATCAAAATCAATCAATATAGAATTAAATCAGTAGATGGCACATGCTTTTCAAGTAATTTCAACTATTACCTATATAATTTGCAAACATATATATATATCTTGACATTGACATTTTGATCTTATAAAAACTCTTTGGACATACATTTCAATTATAGCTTTCCAACTAATAAAAGATACAAAAATCCTTCTCTTAATTAATACTACAAGCATTTTCTTGTACCAAAGATTACCTAAATAAGATCACTTTCAAAAATATAAAAAATAATAATGAAATAAGCATTGCAACAACCTATGTCCAATTACTTGAATGTCAATTACCAAACCAATATATTAGATGTGTGTATATATTATATAATATAATATAGATAAATGTGTTTAATTATTCAACCCCTCACACCTCCCTAATAGCTAGGTGGTAGCTAGTGTTAGAAAAATAATAGGGAATACAATTTGAAGAAGAAAATAACATTTGAAGATTACTTTTCTTAAAGAGATATTTGCCTATATATATATTGGGAAAAAATATAAATAATTTCTTTCAGGATACAACAAAGTTCTTGTATATACTTGCATATTTTTCTTAGGCTGCTTCCTTATATTTATAGAACTTAAGAGATGACTTTTCATAATAATTATATATTCTTTCATGAACAGATTTGTCTTGTTCAATTTTAAGACTTCTATATATTATAAAATACCTAACAGGGTAGTGATGGGGGATGAGGTGGAAGGTGGGGTTTCATTGAACATTAGAAAAATACAAGAAAACTCAAAAAAGATTATGTGCAACAAATTAAATTAATTAAAGGAAGAGATACAAAATATTGATCAAAGTTCAGTTTTGTTGAATGAAGTTGAAGAAGCAAATTAAGTATGAAATTACAAGAACACCTTTTTCAAGACTTTGATGAGAACCACTAAGCTTGGCCTTTTGCTTGCTTTGGAAAGATTCAAAGATTTAACACATTTATATTCCACCTTCTTTGTATTTTTCCCACATGAAGTCTTTGTCATAATTTTGTTAGACATTTCTTCATTCAAATTCTCCCATAACATGTCCATTTTCTCCTCTTCTTCATCTTCATCTTCATCTTCAATCATTCTCTTCATGGCAACAACACCTTCTATGTGTGAGAAGCTCTTTCTTTGGTTGATGTAATTGGACTTATTGGATATTAATGGAGACATGTCCAAATTTTCTTCATGATCAGGGTTTTTTTGGACGCGACTAGAAGCAACTGACGTTGTTCTCCATAAAGGTGGTGATTCAAGGAATCGTGGCGGTGTATTGGTGATTGTTGGGAAGCTAAAATCATCTTGAGGAGGAGAAGGAGCCATGTTATATGCTTTTGTTAGCTATGGTGTTTGTAAATAAGACTACTTGAATTTGAGAAATTATTGGGGTGGTTTTGTTTGGTGTGGAGTGTTAAGGGGGCTGTTTGCATTTTAGGGGAAAAGTTTTAGTTCAACCACTTCAACTTTGTATACAGATATTTTCTTTATATAAAGAAATTTAGGAGTGTGGGTCCCATTTTTACAACTTTTTGGGTCTAAACTATTATACATATGTGTCGTGATTCTTCTTTATACCTATATAGTTTGCATATTTACGGAGCTGTAACTATAATTTAAATTGTTTTGTTTGTATAATTTATGAATTTGTATAATTTGCAGGTTTATATAATTTGCGGGTATATTTGTATAATTCAGTTATTTTTGTATATACTCGAAATAATGAATTTATACAATTACAAAGATCAGAAATGTAAACAGTTATACAAATTATATTATACAAATTCCGAATTATACAAAAGTTATACAAATTCCGAATTATACAAACGTGTGAATTATACAAAACTAAAAAGCTGAGCCGCGTAATTTTCCCTTCTTTTAGTATTTAAATAATTTTAATATTATCATATACTTGAGGTGTTTATGATTTTTAAGAATAATTACTATTAATAATAAAATAAAATAAAATTATCATAAATTTCTAAAATGATAAAGAAATTAAAATATCTATTTTTAAAATTATGATAAATAATTTGAGATAGAGTGAGTAAATAAAAAATGTGATTAGTTATACATGAAAGAAAGCGTAACTTATCATTCCTTTGTAATTAGCTATCTGATTAGCAAAATTACTGAAAGATTAGCTATCGTACCATATCCACCAAGTACATATCATTCCTTTGTTAATTATTTATTCCTTAATTAAGGTGTTTTAGGTATAGAGTAGCTAGTTCCTGTTTCTTAGACCACCCCCCCCCCTCCCCCCCTTTTTTTTTTGAATTATTGTTGTATATGTGTACTATATATGTAGAATATTAAAATGATTTTAATCAGGGGCGAAGGTAGAAGCTTAACTACGAGGTAGACCAAATTCAGTAAATTTCACTTGGATAATATATTTGTATTAAAAAATTCATTGTATTTTTAAATTGAAATTGAAATTGAAATTATTAAAACTTAAAGTCATCGGACTTAATTACCTATAAAACAAAACAACCATGATTTTGAATTTGAGAAAATCGTAAAACATGTCAATTACACTCGTCGTATTATAATTGCAGTATAGTCCGTACAATAATAATAATAATAATAATAATATATTTGGTGTAATCTCACAAGTGAAGTATGAGAAGGTTACGATGTATGCAAACTTTATCCCTACTATTTATGGGGTAGAGAGACTGCATTTCATAGACTCTTGACTCGAAAGAAATGTAATCAAAGCAAGATTGTAAGAAAAATAATGACAACAAAATATTAAGATGAATAAAGCAAATTAAATAATTGATAGTAGTAAAACATAATAAGAATAATGTACCACACGAATACTAACTAATACTAATAATAATGAAACGATGGGAAGAGTGGACTAGCCCCTGCCTCTCCCACATAAGAGTATGGCAATACTAACTATCTACAATTCTTCTACTCTGATTCCCAACCTCCGTATCTTTCTACTTCAGGTCATGTTCATAATAAGCTAAAAATATGTCATGTCGTGTCTAATTACCTTCAATCCCTGACTCGCAATCTCAATCAAGTAAGAAAGGGTCAATTTCTCTTCAGTATAATACATCTACCTCTCCTAAAGTTTGATATAGCCAACCTCTCACAAAATCACACTTCTGTACTGGTACATATGCACACCTCCTCTTCATATACCTGAACCATCTCAGTCTCGCTTCCTCCACCAGCTTGTCTGTCACAGAGGTCACTCTCACCTTGTCATGTATAACTTCGTTTCTTATCCTATCTCTCCTAATATACTCGCACATCCATCTGAGCATACTTATCTCCGCTATCTTCATTTTTTAGGCATGAATTTTCATGACTGACCGACATTTTGCCCCATATATACAACAATATAGGTCTAACCATCATTTTGTAGAACTTACCGTAAAACACATTCTTATCACACAGTACCTCAGATGCGAGCCTTCATTTTATCCACCCTACTCCAATACAATGCACGACATCATCATCAATCAATCTCCCGATTCCTTTGATTATATATATATCCCTAAAATACTTGAAATTTCCTTTCTTAGATATAACGTAATTATGTGTTGATCTTTAATTCCACCTCCACTTCATCATATGCTATGTGACTAATTTTGCATTCTAGATATTCTATTTTAGTTGTGCACACTATAGTCCATACTCACAATAATTAAATTGATAAAATATTATGGGGATAATTACCCACCTCAAGTAATGAGTAGTGACCAAAATACACTCTTTCTTTAGGAATTTAAACTTATTGTCCATCAATCACTATCTAAAGACTTTCATATGACTAAACTCTAACACATATAAATATGGTCAAACATTTTTGAAATTACTGCCGGATTTATCGGATTATTAATTCATGCCATCAAATTTCCAATTTTCAAGAATTTTAACACCTTTTTTTTTGTGTGTGTAGTTTATTTCACTTGATTTAATTAATGAGTTTTAATACTTCAAATTTATTCATCTTCCACTGTTTTTGGTTATTATATGAATGAAGCTTAATTTTAGAGTCAGCAAATTATTACAAGGTTATTTTTGTAATTCTTAATCAATTATTTATATTTACTTCTATTAAATAATTCTCATAATCTTACTCAAGAAGTCTTAGCAAATTCAATTTTTTTTCTACTTAATTAACATCGTGTTTCACAAGTCTAAAGATATACTAGTAATAGATTGTTAAAAATTTAAAACATTTCACATGTGAGCTAGAAACCAAATATTAAGTTTTTTATATGTATTTAAGTACGCAGTCAAAGAATTTCTATTTTCTTTTATGATTTTTTTTTTTATATATGTAAAAAAAAAACACTTTTCTTGAATCGAGAATCTACTGAAAATAACTTCTCTACTCCGTAAAGATAGGATAAAGTCTTCATATACTTACTTACCCTGAGTACCCTCTGTAATCTGTAATCTCTGGACCTTACTTATCAAATTTCACCGGACAATATATATATATTATATATAGTGATTGGATTTGCAACTTTATACTCTAAAGTCCCTAGTCTTCTTAATCATATATTGCTTCTTTTTCTCCTTTTCTTTTCCTCAGGTAACTAATTAATTTCTTGTATATCACCATATATAGTACCAAAAAAAGAAAGTAACTTTTCAACTAAGTTCATCAAGGGTATTTTTGGTATAAAAAAATCGATCCACGGAAAATATTCAATTCTTTTCTGAAAAAATAATTATTTTTTAAACTTATTTTTTAGTATTTGATAAATAAAATATTATTTTAGTATTTGATAAATAAAATATTATTTTAAATACACTTATATAATGCAAATTAAATAGTGGGAGTGGGGGGGGGGACGTGGGGTGGGGTGGGTAAGAGTGAAGGGACAGGGTGGTGTTAAGGTTGGAAGTGGGTACATGTGGGTCTCCAACATAATTATTGAGTTCACGTGAATTCAATAACTTTTGTTCAGATCTTATTACGTATTAAGAAATTCGTTAAATATCTATAAATATTAGTTACTATTGAATATTTACGTGAAATAGTTATATGAATTCATAAACTTTAAATTTTGAATTCAAGGGGTGAGGGTGGGGGGTAGGATATCAGTGTTGATTTCTCAAGTTTTTCTTGATTGGGATCTACTTGTTAACAGCCATTTTTTCTATTTGTATGTTTTTATAGACACAAAGAAAGCTACTCTATAAAACAATTTTCACTTCCAGTAAACTCAATACACAACTTGTAAATGAATATAATAGGGATAATATCACATACTAGGGTGTCAAATAAGTTGGTTGAGCAAAATTTGAACAACTCAAATCGAGTAGAGCTAATGAACATCTCGATCAAACACGATAATAATATACCCAGTATATTTCTACAAATGAGGTTTGGGAAGGGTAAGTGTATAGAAACCATGCTCTTACCTTTGTTGGAATAAAGAGATTGGTTCTGATAAACCCTAAACTCAAGAAACTAATTTTTCAAAAAGAAATGCAAGTCATGAGTTCAAAGTTTATTTGTACCAAAATGATTTTGGACAATTTGACCTGAAATAGATCAAAATTCATTATCCAACTCAAAACCACTTTTTCATTTGTTTTTTTTTATCCAAATCAAAATAACACTTCAAAAAAAAATAAGGTGATATTTTGAGCTTGCATCTAGAGACTTGAACTAAGTATTTCAAAACTCAATAATATATCCAATATAATCTCATGAGTGGAGTACGAGGAGGATAGTGTGTACACAACCTTGCCCCTACCTTGCGAAGATAGAGAAGTTATTTGCAATAGATCCTCGACTCAAGTTTTTCCAAAACACAGAAAACTCAAAAGGTCTAGACATATAGTCAAGCAAGTCTATCCTTTAACAAACTATTTAAATTTTTTGGCCAAGTGTTAGCTCAATGTATATATCTATAACCAGTTAGCCAAAAAAAACAGTGTATCCTCTAACAAAAAAATGAGGCTTTCATTCATTTGGAGATTTTTACAAGTAAAATTAGGAAAATAGATACAAGAATGGGTGAGATCCATATGATCCTCTCTCCATTTAAATAGAATTAGGTATTCTCAAATGCATCAATTTCAAACTTTACTAAGATATTTAGAGAATTTCTTCAATCACCTGCCTGAATGTCTTTCCTTTAGTTCTGGGGAGATGTCAGCTTCGATGTCACGAGTATCTGAGGAAGTTCCACTACCAGTGACAAGAGTGATATACCGGTAACTGGACTCCCACTTACACTTCGTCCTGGAGTAGTTTTATGTACAAACTAATGTTAGCCTGTGTAAAGCAACTGTTGCATTAGCTAACAAGCCAAACACTTTCTTCCATCTTATTGTTGTCCATGAGTAGAACAGGAAGGAACAATAGTTGTTGTCTCTCATAAGAAAAACGCTGTGATATTCAACTGAATCTTGGTTATCGCATGGATTCTCGATTCTTAAGAGGAATGCCTTCTTCACTGGAGCCTCCTCCTTCATCGTATTTAGGATATCGCATAAATGCAGATGGTGAAGAAACTGTGAACAGAAGAAAAATAATTATCAACTCAAAACCCACAAAATGTGAATTATATTATTGCTAATGGTAATTTGAAAGGATACCCTCAACTAAGTCTTTGGTTTTGTGAAGAAGAAAGGTGCCTGACAAAATGGTCACAAATCCACAGAGTTCCGTAATAATTTGAGTTGCTGTTTGCCCATTCCAATCCTGTTCCAGGAGCATGAAAGACAATTTAGAAGAAGATAAGAAGGTTGAAGATAGAGGATGTCTTTCAAACACAAGTTGAACTTATAATATTTAACTACTGTCAATCACTATGGCTCAACACTTGAAAGCAGCTATTCCAGTAATTAAGACAAGTACTTATGGTCAATAAGCAGGAGAGGAGGGAGTGTTTTGCAGCTTATCCAGGAGCCACAAGTTCCAGCGGGTTTGCCAGGGTAAATAAGCATTTCATGCTTGAAGGCATCACGTGAATATTGCTTTATGAAATGCGCTGAATACCCTAATAATGCAGCTTTTGACTGTTAATTTATAAACATAGGTAGTTGCTTTCTGAAAAAGACTTCATAAAGTCACTTGTTAGCCATGCACTTTAAATATATAATCCTTTGGATCTATCCAAACAGAAAAGACAAAGAAACATATAAACTATAACTGTGACTTGCAGCTTGGGAACTGGATGAACTACTCATATTTTTAGAAAGTTGTGCAGTAAACGTGCAGACAATAGACAGAATGAAATGGGGAATTCTAACAATGGTCTATACTATGTCAAGGCTGGATATAATAACTTCTCCTTCAACAAAACCTATGATTGACAAATGGCCTTGGATATTTGGAAGACCAAGCGCCTGACAAAAGCAATTTGTTTCAGTTGGACAGCTCTCAAAGACGCTTGTCTAACACTGGATAATCTATCAAGAAGAATTCTTCAAATAGTCAACAGATGCTACAAGTGCGAGACCAACTCAGAAAGCATCAGCGACCTACATCTCCAATGTATTGTTGCAGCAGACTTTTGGAGCATGTTTCACTCAGTTTTTGGACTTAGCTGGTCATGTCATTCAGTGTAAAGAATGCATGCGAAATCTAGAATGTCTGGAGAGTTGATAAAACCATCAGGGATATCTGGAGAATGGCACCTGCCTGTATTTTTTGGTGCATTTTGGACAGAGAGGAACACGAGATGCGTTGATGGCATTTCAACTCTAATGCGCTCCCTCAAGGCTGGATGTCCTATCTGTTTAATTGGTGTAAACTCTCTCCTATAAATAGCATATAACAGGTTTTGGATTTTGTAAGCTCCCTAATTCTAGTCTAATTTTATGTATAGGGGCTATCAAAATCTTTTTTGCTTCCATGTACTTTTGCTATTTTGCATCTTCTTGATGCCTCGAATGAAATATTTTTACTCCATCAAAAACATATAAACTATAACTGTAAGCCGATACCCCTCCCTCACCCATTAGACGATCAATTCTCTACTAATATTCGCAATTCATTTGTATTGGCTTGTTTGAACAAATTTTGTCTCTTTATTACTAGAGAAGTCCTGTGATACAAAATACTGATTAGATACGTTTAAGGGTATCAATTGTTATATGCCAAGCTCTACTAGTTAGGCAGTTTCAGAAAAGCAAGGAAAGGAGAAGTCCTCAAGAATTATTAAAATGGTTAAAAATTATTCAGAAAGATGGCTGCTTTTTCCCCCTTCCAATTTCATCAATGGGAGGGGGAGGAAGAGAGAACATAGTTGCTTTCGTTTTAGCTCCAATTTCATCAATTATGTTTAGGAAATTTCAATTTCATTGGTGAGTAATCTTAAATACTCCCTTGGCACTTTTCGTTTTTCGAGAGTCAAACAATTTAAGTTTGACTGGAAATTTGCTCGTGGAATCTTCAAATTTTTTTAAATGAAATTTATATATTTGTAAACTACGTAAAAAGTACTATAAGTCACAATAATTGACAATTCAAAATAATTAAAAGATATATGAAAAATTTACGGTCAAAGATAAACTTGTTTGAATCTCGAAATCCGAAAAGTGCCAGACGGAGGGAGTACGTAATATTATTTATCTTTCCTTTAACTAGTCACTAGTCATCTCACTGGAATCATAAAAGGTCAGTCTCCTCTAGATCAATGTTTAACATAGTACAACTACTACGAGTGTTCTAATGTTCAACCCTTATATTTTTCAATTACGTTTCTCATGCACCAAAATGGAGGTCTATGAGAGCCTGGCGTGCATTCATACTACACTTACAAAGTTTTATTATTCCCCACCCACATTGGCAGGCAACCACGCATTCCTCTGCATCATTGTCACTACTAACTCTTGATCCTGTTTATGTCTAGTTAGGTTCAATATGATTCATCTATGTTTCCTTTACAGGAATTCTATTTTTAGACTTCATGCATACCCTAGGCAACTACATAAGTAACATGATACTAACGAGGTGGCAGAATTGTCGGAAAAGATGACTAGAGTCTAGGATCACTGACCTCATACACAACAACCATGCACTAGGTGTTCAAAAAGTCCATATTTAAGATGAAAAATAGGAGCATCTCAGAGGGGCAAAAGATCATTAGGTGAGATGATAAAGAAAATTTCCACCCACAAAAAGAAGAGTAATCCCTTTTCAATTCTCATCCAAAAGAAAAATCAACAACTATGCATATTCATGACTATCATTTATTATCGAGCTATACAAAATGTCGCTCAGTATCTTAAAATCTATCTTCTTCAAAATATTTTCATTGAATCAACTTGAACAGTTCAAAGAATACAGTGTGATGTATCAGTTAATATATACAACATTAGTAAAGAAAAGTTGTTGCACCTTAAACATGATGACGCTGGCAACAATTGTGAGTGACGTAAATGTCACATAGTATATTGGTGATACAAGTGCTGTGTTGAATGTATCAAGAGCCTGCATTTGAAAAGTGAGAAAAATTTGGTCTGAAGGTACAGAAAAACAATGATTTATCCCCAACCCGAAAAAAAAGCAGAGAGAAAAACACCAGGAAAACACAAGGATATGCTAATAGATAAAACAATCATCAGAAATACAAATGTCCTTTTGAGTAACAAATGGCCAACATGGGTTCTGCAGCTATAAATGTAGTCTTATGTAGTCAGTCATGGAGCGACATAAGTTCAACAGCGAAATCAATCAACTAGGCTTCAACCCAAACTATTCCAAATCGTCTAAATGAATGTGTGTCTATCCATTTGGGTCTATTCAGGCAAATTTCCTTGTTATACTAGTAAATAGGAAAACTAGATGTTCTCTAAACCACTAACTTTCCCCAGGTAATATTCAAGTCTCTTACCAAACTAAAAAGACTAATGACAACTTATTGCAAGTGTAACGATAAACTAAGCATCAATCCATACTAGTTGTCTTTGCCTGTATGGATCTCTATGGATTCTTTAATTCCATTTTGTTCAATTCTTAGTTGAGTCTGCATTGATTTCAACAAATTATAGGTCCTTTAAGGAAATTTCTCTCCATGTGATTCCAAGTCTACGCAGTCTCTTTTCAACAGTTTCAATCATCATATTGTGACACTGAAGGACCAGTCCATTTGGATGCTTATATTGGACATGGTTAACCATCTCAGACGACCCTTTCTCATTCCCTCTTGTGTACTCGTGATGTGATAATTACTGACCTTTCCAATCTTGTATGGCATCCATATTTCTATGATAATCATCTAGATTGTAGCTAAGGGGCACTGCAATGATAAATGCAAATAGTTTTGATTATGAGACTTTGAAATGTTCACTAATCTGCAGAAAGAGCTCTATCTCTCAGTAACGTTCAACAATCATCAAACAACAAACATGTGAAGGTTTTATTTTTAGTGGAGATATTAGTTTCCTCAAGGTCATTGCGTTCACAATTATGTGCATGTTGATTCTCTAAGAAAGGCCCCTTGACAAGACACTATCTGATCATCGGTAATAACTGGCACCTCGTAGATGCTCCAAAATAGTTACAAGAAACAAAAGCATTCCTCATTTATACAACTGCATTTTCCACCCCTTCAAAAAACCCTTCCATATATATTTTTTTTGTTCAGCTCTTCTATATATCCACATTAGCATTGCTTTAAGTGAGCTACTTCCAGCGCTCTACTTCTCCATTTTTGCCTGAATGTCCAACTCAGGAGCAAATCTTTGATAGCAGCTACCTAGTCCAGTCTAATGCATTCCAAACAAGTTTAACATAGTACATCATAGTCTATTTGCAACCTGACAGGAAAAAAGCAATTGGTCCACATCTTCCTAAGATTGCTAGCACATGTAACACCATGTGACATATGTTATCCTCATACTCCTCCTTATTCTCAGATGTAAGGATGGCCCCTTTGGCTGCTAGCCAAGTGAAGAAGCAACCTTCTTGGTGCTCTAGGAGACCACATAGAGGTGTGAGGTTTATGAAAAGAGAGAGCCTAGGCTTCTGATGTAGCGTAAGTTATTTTGTCAATAGGAATTTAACTGAACAAACTTCATTACATTTATTGTAAGTCAAATTGCAACAAGAAGTGAACTCCCCTCAATGATCATGTACAAAGTTTGGTATGCCAAATTCAAATTGTAAGTTTTTGCACATCAATGATCAATGGAGTTATTTAAAAAAAAATAAAAAATTGCAACAACAAGAAGACATATGCTGACACCTGAAAGTCCAAGAGCATAAAGATACACCAAGTTAATGTTTAGAACTTCCATACAAATGACTAATATATCCAAGCATAAAATAACAACAAAAAGAACTGAGCGTACATTCTAATTACCTTGTTTAAGTAGTTCATTTGTGTAAACACGCATGTCACTACGACAACTGCAAAGACCCATGTTTGAGGATACAACAACTGGTTCGTCCCAGAGAACGTTAATTTTAATGCTATTCCTAGTGCTTGGACACTCATAACCTGCCAAATCATTTAAGATTTTTTCCAAAAATTACAATTAGATCACATGGATGTAGCCCGTGTAGGAATGATGAAATAATAACAAGCTTAAGGAAAAAGAGAACCCAGATGGGGGAGGGTAAAAATGAAAAGCCGAACTCCAACCAGATAACTGAGTGCCTACCCCAATAGAACCAACGAGTGAACAAACTCCAACATAAGCAATTATATGAGTCTGTCCATATTTTGGAGCATACTGGACAATGATTATGACAACTGCCACTATAACCAAAGTTGCATATAGGAGGAATGCTGCCATCAGTAAGAAATTAGCAAATTATTGTCAGTAAGAAGTTTTGACAAACTAAGCAATCAAACTTCCATGCTCACAAAATGTCAAGAAGGACTCGGCTTTGTCAGCATTCAAATGCATACCAGGTTCCGTGGCAAGGTCCCAGAGTTCCTTTACAGACTCAATTTGACGTTCTTGAGGAGCATGCAGAACAATGGTTGTTGAGCCCACAACACATAGAACACAACCAACCATTCCAAAAATATGCAGTTTTTCTCCCAATATCATATGAGCAAGTGCAGCACTGCAAAATAAATAAATAAATAAATGTTGCCTCGAAGGTAACAGATAGCAAAGTTGAACAATCATTTCCAGCCTTCTCTTGCCTGATAATAATACTGAGTGCACCAAGAGGTGTGACTAGGACAGCAGGTGCAAATGCATAAGCTGCAAAGTTAGCAATTTCTCCAACAATCACTGCCACAGAAGCAATGCACTCACATCAACCCTTGTTTGTCTTCTCTTTTTTTTTCAAATAGAAAGGTGAGGAGAACATGTACATGGTTAAAATACTTCAAATAAAAATAAACCAACAAGCATGGAAGCCCCATAAAAACATATCCTTTGTAGGGAGAGGTGGAGGAGGCAAAAGCCTTAAGGAGATATAACTTATTTACAAGCAATATTGGAAGTATTTTCAGTAAATGCATATATTTTTCCTATCGAGGCTTTTGAACAAGTAAAAGACCATATTAGTCACATCAAAGTAGAGCAAATGCGAAGAACTGAAGTAAATATCCTTGCGTTATTTGTTAGAGAATTAAGAAAATTGACAAATATAATGTGGCTTGATCAGTCAGAGGGACTTCTTTAGGATATATCATATATTGATATCCTTCAGAGAGCCCTCAGCCCCTTAGATCCTGAAAGCCCTTCTATTCTCTCACACTAATGAAACAAAATAAGCAAAATAACAACAATTTACATGTTAATGCTATCTTAAATAGTTGATTTTTTCTTCCTTTACTTTTAACTTCTCAATTCCTCTTTCACTCATACTGGATTGAGAATACAAAATTATCCTTCCCCATATTCAATAAGTTTAGTTGCCAAGAAAACCAGTTTATATAACATGCATGGAAACGGCAGGGTCTAAAGTGGTTCCAATCATTAGCTGGTTGAATGTTGGAGCTACAAAGGGAGAGTTATGGGGAAAAAAATATCATCCATAATCTCTCAGACAACTCAATATGCATAATTTATCCTTGACATAGATGTTTATTACAGTAAATTATCCTTATTCTTTTACCGAGAATATTGTGTTGCCTTTCACAAGTCAAGTACTTTCTGTGACAGGGAATCTTTCCTTTTCTTTTCTTTCCCCCTTGATCAGCTATTAATATATCGTATAAGCTGAAATAATCTGAGGTTCCCCCTTTTCTTATTCTTCTTTCTTTTCTTTCCCCCTTGGTGCACCCATGAGGTTCTTGTTTGCATAGATGAACGGGTGACTTCCATAGAGAACCAAATTTTGATGTAGGTTTATCTACCTTTTGGTATACTTCTTGTACGAGGGGATTCCCCCAAAATTAATAAGATCATTTACCTTATCAAAAATAAGTTGAAATCAACTGAATCATTTTGTCCATATTCCTTAATAGCCAAGTTCTTTTTTTCTCTTTCCTTTGAACCATCATAGATGCCTGACTTTTATAAACCAACAACGAGAATTTCACCATTGTGTAAGACATCACAAGCAATTACATTGACTCAAACAGCAAAGTAAGCATAAAGAATATACTATCCCCATAACAATCCAATGTCGTGGTCACTACTTTGTAGAAAATAGTCTACTAGATAGCATCTACTTCCTCAAGGAGTTCCCTTGATGAACTTTATTTTCTGATACCAAGTCATAAGTTCCATTAGTTGACTGTTTGCAACACCACTTTTCTATTTTCATATTCCTTGGCAATATAAAGAAAAGAAAAGAAAAATGAGTTAGGAAAACGAATCTCTTTTTATATACATTTAAATGTTGTACATTTCAATTCTCATCTCAATAGTCATGCCAAGTCACAAAAAGACATTATTTTGGACCAGAGAGGAAACAATTCAGCACAAATCCTCATATATCAGAAGATTGAATATGATAGGATAACTAACTTGTTATCATTCCTGCCCACCAAAGCGGCTCCATCAAGTAAGAATAGCCTCCAGAGCCTGCCATAGCATGTAAAAATAAGTCACATTGCCTCTAGGTATGGAAATTGAATTAACTTTTAGAAGCTAACTTTGTTATTCAAGATTATAATGTTTAAATCCAAGATCTAAGATGAGTAAGATTTTTAAAGAGGCAACCCATTTCTTATCCAACAGTTTCATGATATATTTGAAAGCCGAGCACCACCAATAATCCATTTTTCTTCCAGTGTCAGACCATTCAAAACTTATCGAATAATTGATCTGTCCTTCTACCATTTTCCACTTACATACAGGGCTTTTGTCTATGGAAGGGTTCGAATCCGTGATATCCGCCTAGCCCAGACATCACGTGTTACAATCTTACCACTAGACCGAAGCACTGTGGACAAAAAATTATTTGGAGAATCAGGAAAGGGAAAGGGGAAATGAGACACTTCATTTTCTTCTTATAAAACAATTGTCATATGGACAATTGCAGATGAAAAAAGAAGGATTATATATGGGTCAATCTGATTGACAATTCTACTGCAGTACACATTTGACAAAAAGAATGAAACATTAGATGAAAACCGAAGCTAATGCCAAAATAATCTAACCCCTATAAATCACAGTCGTATCATGAACCCACTTTTTAAAGGGACCAATAAACCAACATATAAATTGAAATACAATGGAAAAGGTTTAGTCATTATATGCACATTGCATGCACTCTTACATTTTTTATCCATAACCTTCACAAATAGCTTATGTAGCACTAGCTCTAGATAAAGCATGAGAGCATCCATGTCAAGAACAGGCACATGGGCAAGGATATGAGATATGCCTGAGATAACTAAAGATATGGGAAATAAGGAAGCATTTTTTAGAAGCAGAACGTAATGTTGTAGCATGCTCATATAATACTTTCTTTGAGAAGACTCTGAAAGTAGGTAGAACACCACATTTATGAAATCAGTTTTAAATTCCTTGTCTTCCAAAAGCTATGGACAAAAAAAAACAGATGAAATCTTTTCAGGAAGGAATAAAACAGATGAGATCTTGAACACGTATTATCAAACAATGGCGTACCCATGATCTTTTGTAAGTAGTGTCCACATATAAAGAAGTGAACAAACAACTATAACAACATGAGAGATGACAAGTTTGAGAATAACAACACCAGCAATTTCAATCACCCAGAAGTTGCAAGTTACAGAAACGAATGAGTAACTTCTTTTCAAAATTATCGTTCTAAATCCATTTATGTTATACTAAAATAATTACTTTTCAGGGATTGAATATTTTATTTTCACTTTGTGGTTACGAAATGTTAGTTGGTGTGTTGGTTTAATCAGCTTTTTTGCTGGAGGACAGGGTTTGATTATTACTGCCTCTATGTTTTAGACAAAAGAGGCCTGTATTTTTTATTTTTTTGACAAAAGAGGCTTAGAAGTAGAAACAATGAGAAAATATGCAAAACATGTACAGAGCAGGTCTTAAACCCCCACCTCAGTTACACAAGTCGACGCTATTGACCATCAAAGACAGACTACGCCATGAAGTGGTGTCATTTAATTTATATTTCCAAAAAAGTTAAAAGTTGAATCACCAAAATGTCTGTCAAATATTGAACGACGTCTTTGTCCTTCAAGGAAACATTATTTTCATAACATTTTTGTACAGAAAAGTAAATATACATTCAAATAAATATTAAAAAAAATAATAAGAAAAAGAAATGTGGTTCATTGAATGGTGAGCTCTAGCAAGCTTCTTTTCTTGATGAAAATGTATCCAATTTAAGAGCGATTTATTTCGTTGGAGTAATTAATTAGACTGCCAACCTTTATTACAAGCAATGATATCTATTTATTAATCCACTATTTCATGTAATAACTTAAGGAGTGATTCATGAACCAATATAATTCAATTCATATTCCCCACCTATATTGCACGGACTCTACTCTCCAAAAATGTTGTCGCACTTGTGTCAGATACTTCAAAAATGCACTATTTTTGTTGGATCCAACACACACCCAACGACATTTTTGAAGAGTTCGGGAAACATAATTCCCCACTAATGGTCCTTAAATACTTTCATTTATGATTAATAAATGTTGAGAGCTTTATACAATTGGAATGTCACCGTGAACGGGAAAGAAAGACTTACAAATGCTAAACATATGTTTTGTACTTTCCTCTCTTATTTCCCATTTTCACTCAAGTTCCTTTTTTCTTTGCCCATGTATGATAAGATTGCTTGGTACTTTTTTCTTAGAAACTCAAGTTTGATTTTTCCAATAAACTTCAATTCTTAATTTTCATCTAGCATCTGAGCATGTATCCATTTTTATTCCCCCCTCAGTCCCATACCTATATATTTGTTTGATGGTTTGGATAAAAAAATTCATGGTGTTTAGCCTTCTTGTCCATTTCATTATTTTTTTGGGGTAAATTAAACCTATAAGCCTCTCATTTGGAACTTCAAGTTTATCATTTGTTTTTTTTATTATTTTTTTTCTTATCGCAATCAACACAAGCATTATAATTCATGGAAGGAAAAAGAAAATAAAGAAAACTGATGGTATAATCCACTTAGGTTCTTTAAAGGAAGTATATGCGCAACGCGCGTTCCAGACTCTAGTTGTTTATATGCAACTTCCCACGAAGCAGTGTCGGATGACACTACTTTGACTAACGTGTGTCTTCTCTCAAAAAAGGATAGGAGAATCATGATAATTAATCACCAAGGATGGTGCTATCATGAAAAACACTCCTACCAAAATGTTTAAATTACAATGAATCCGACATATAGTTATATCTAACATGCTCTTGATATGGATGAAATAAAGGTATTATAATGTCAAATTACTCCACTTAAGAGGGTCACATCTTTTAAGTATTTTTTAATTATAACTCTGTTTAGCTAATAACAAAAGGAATCTTCTTTTAACCTAAGAGAGCTCATAAAAAGTGGACATTGATAGAGTAAAGAAGTTGATTTTTACAAACATCCTGCACACAGGTAGTTATCCCCTTTTGCAGTAAATGAAACCTTAATTATCAGGAGTGCAGCAAACAGTGAAGCCTCTGTTGTTTAATAGGCCTGTTGTAACCTGAAGCTGTGGGACCAAACTAACCATATAAATCTAGTATATTGTTTATGATAAGGTAAAAGTAAAATATCTCAACTGAGCATATACATCTAATATATGTGAAGCTATAGGACCACACTTAGCATATCTTTATTCTAACTCTCCCTATAGTGGATAACTAAACCAAACCCAAAACCAATGAGAAAGAGACAAGGATCTCATATCAATATTCTCTGCAATCATCCACAATGTCTCCCAGATAATAATGAATCTCCTATGTTCGGTTCCCATTCTAGTTTTCAACTATATATTAAGCAAAAGAGATCTTAAGGATATACTCTCAGAACCTCACATGATATAGGTTTAAATCCACACAAAGATTTTTATTTCTAGTGCCAAAAGATTTGTTGTCTAAACCAAGTGTCAGTGTTTCCCGGTTATTGATCGCAATCACTATATGGTATGTTCAAAACAATAAAGAATGTCATAAAGCAATTCAGAACAGGAAACTTTTACTGCCTAATTATATCTTTCAGTCATATTATATTTACTTGTAAGGTAACAAGAGTCTCACTCATTGTTAACATGCTCAACAATTGTTTTTGGCAAAGTGATGTCACAAATTCTTCATCTTTTCAGCATATTAGGAAATTTTGTGGAACAATGAACTCCAGCAAATATATCAGCAAATTCAGCAAAACCAGAAAGTAAAACAGAAAAAAGAAAAGAGTAAAAAAAAAGTAACACCAAGAAATTATGCTGTCCCCAAAGTAATCCATTCAACCAATTAAAAAAATATAATAAGACACCAGAAATAATAATTGAACCAAACAAAAGTACAACTTCCTGAAGTCATAGAGTCGTAGGAACATAACGAAAAAGTCACACCCAAGTCGCGCCTAATGGCCAATGAAGTGGTTGAGTACTAGTAGAGACAAAACACTAGGTGATTTATTCTCCGTTGTTGTTGGTGGAAGGTGGTAGGTATCCGTGAAATTATTTTTTGTGCGCTTAGGCTGCACCACACCATGGTTATAAAAGAAGAGCCCAGCTGAATTTCAAGCATTTCTCATGTGGTGGACCAATAAATACAGAGTGCATTTCCTAAATTCCAACTCAGTTCATAAAACAATTTTTTTTTAATCCCATCAAAAAGATTAGATATTTAAAGAAAACCCAAGTTCAATTTCAGCCATTTCTAATACATGGACCAAAAACTATACAAATTTCATCCAACCAAAAAGGAAAGACAAGAGTAAAAAGTACCTGCCCTGAGGCCAGATGCAGCAGCTTTTTGAAGACCCTTTTTCTTGATGATAAAACTGGACCCAATAAACAAACTAGAAGAAATAGCCAAGCAAAGACCATTAACATTATCAGAGGAGATTTGTTGAGGGTCCCCAAAGCTACCGGGCTGCTGTGAACTCCCCATATAGTTTACTTCTTCTTCTTCTTCAATAACCAAAAAGCTTCATTAACACAGAAACTCTCTTTTGCCATTCCATCAGAAACCCATTTTCCCAGGCACAATTCACCCTCAATTCTTAACACAATTAAACTCGAAAACCCCAAATATGATAAAAAAAATGACTGTCAGTGGTTGATTCTGGGGTAATTTTCAAAGAAACAAAGTGTGGAATGAATTGATCTGTGGACGGACGGAGGGATTAAAGTGAAGAAGGCGACAAGAGTCTTTGTTTTTAGTTTCTTCTTTGATCGGAGATTCAGCACAGAGAGAAACAGAGATCGATCTTCCTTTTGGCTTTTGTTATGCCAAATATAATTCAAATAACATGCAAATATTGTAATATTATATTTGAAGTGCACCTTTATTTTATTTACTTTTTTTCAAGTTTTGTTTGTACTTCCTTTCTTGAGAAAATTATTTCAAACTATTTTATGGTTGTTTTATAATGTATCGTATTATATTAATAAACTAGGTAAATTATTCGTGCTTCGCACGGGATTGAACTATCTTACTAAGCTTACATATGGTCATTCGGTAATATTCGCATTTTCAATACATACACTACATTGTCAAGAACATTTTATCTTAAGGTAAAACATTCTTCTGAAATCTTAAAGTGCAATGTTTTTTTAAATTTTCATTTTTGTTAGACAAAAATTATGAGTCATAGAGAGAAAGAAGTCTAAGAAAATCTCGATGGAAATAGTTGGTCAGAAGTAATGAAATTTTATAAATTCCAAGAAGTTATAAAGAACAACATCAGACATTAAAGAAGAGACCAAAAAGCCTTAAACGACAACACTCCCAAGTTATTAAAGTGGAACATCACGTCCATACAAGAACATAATTAACTAAATTCAAATGGAGGACTTTCGACTCCTTTCTTATGAACCTCCATCAATATCTTTTTATTGTAGTATGTTGTATTTTCTATATGTTAAAAATGACCATAAAATTGTGAGTATCATAAATGTTTTTCCTCATTGTCTCAGAATAGTCATTACTATTGCCAGGATTGAGAAGTGAAGAAATAGGGGATAAACTTTTACTTGGAGAGTCTTGGAAGGAATTGATAATAAACCAAGTTTTTTTTATGAGCTTTTTTTCGAGCCTTTGTGTCTATGTTTTTTTCATTATCTGTTGGAAAAAATTCAGTAATTTTCTTCAATAGAGACAATAATATGTATACCTCAATCCATACAAAATGCTTGTACCTAAGAAAAAACAATCAAAATAATATACTAATTGTGGCAAGCAGGAGAGCAATCTGTTTGGTTCTTTTAACAAACATCATCATTGGTTCCATATTAGTAATCACATATTTATTGTTGTATGCTATCAAATTTAACACAATTCACAAGCAATTTTCCCAAAAAGTATATGAGAAAACCTGTAAAAAGGGACAAAAGAGAAGATAAATTTTCAATCATCCTCACTGGAATTTTTAACAGAGTTCAATTTTTTTTTTTACAAAAATAGCAAAAAGAAATCGCAAGGGATACATGAATCACTATGACTTACAGTAAAAGATTAAGCTTCATAAAATAGGAGAAAGAAAGCTTTGAGAAATGGAACACATTTCATAAGAAGCTTAATAAATGTATATGTATTTGACTGTCTTATTGCAAAAAAAAACCTACAAATAATAGTGGCAGAAATAAAAGATTTGTGTACTAAAGAACCAAATGTAATGAATTCAACCGTTTCGAAAGCGTTATGAGTTGTGGGCGGAGAAGTGCAAGAGTAATAATGTCGCATTGCAATTAAAATCATTTTTCATTGTTTATATGAAGAAACATGTAGAAAGGGACAAAAGAGAAGTTAATTTTCAATCATCTGTGCTGAAATTTTTTAACAAAGGTAAAAGAAAGTCACCAAGATAGAAAAAAGGAATTGCCATTGTTACATGAATCACTATGACTTATAGTAAAGATTAAACTCCATGAAATTGGAGGAAGAAAACTTTGAAGAATGAAACAAACTTCATAAGAAGCTTAATTAATGAATTTGAATTTGACTACCCTATAGCGGGAAAAAAAACCCTACAAATAATAGTGACAGAAAATCCCTCTATTTATAGAAAACAAATGGTAGTGTGAACAAATTCTTATTGTACCTTGTCGAAAGGGTCACAACTCATTGAAAAAGTTACAACTTTTCGGAAAGGTCACAACGTTTCATAAAAGTCATATTTTTTCATAAAAGTTGCAATTCTTCATAAACGTCGCTACCTTTCATACAAGTTACAACTTTTCAGAAAAGTCGTAACTTTTCATAAAAGTCACTACTTTTTATTAAAGTCATAACTTTTCATGAAAGGGAAGACTAGTTTTGTAAATAAATAAATTAAAAGAGAATTCTTGTTTGTAGTGGCACCACGTAGGCGGGCCTAGAGTTCTCTTTTATATATTAATAAATATAAAATTTGAATAAATGGTACGTTAACCAATTGATGAGAAGTATCAATGGGATGAAGTTGAGATGGAGCTTGTCTCTTAACTTTTAATCTGACAATTATTTAAGTTTTGATACAATGAAATTATTTATCCAACGTGGAGTATCATTTGACATCATTTTTAAACAAAAAGAGAGTGGTCTAGTACTTGCATCATTAGATACTAATTGAGTTGTGTTTTAATAAGTAGTTGATGATAGTTCATGTATAAATTACTTACACATTTGCTAGTTCAAAAATGATATTCACAAAAATGTCATATCTTAAATGCGTTTGATCATTCACTCTAAAAATTATTTTTATTAAATATTTGAACTCAAGTCAAATTGTATCTATTGAAAAAATAGGCGGACCCATATGCGCCGTGAGGGTGCATGTGCACTAACAACTTTTAAATTTTTGTATATTTAAGTGCACCCGAATTAACAAAAGTCATCTTGATGCATTGGTCGAAGGTTTAACTTTAGAGCTCAATGTTGTGAGTTTGAACCCTGCAAAAGGTTGTGATTTTTTGTTTGCCTTTAAAAACCAACATTTTCTTAATAGTTAATCCTGATGGTGCCCCTAATTTTAAATCACGGGTCGCCTCACACTATACCAACATGACATAATATATGTAAAGTGAAGAGTGTATATCATCCAAATAACTCGTTCTTTATTTATTGTAATGTTCTAACTCCCTCTTTATCTGTTTTAAAGTTCTAATCCCTAGTATTTATCTAGAGTTCTAATTCCTAGTATTTACCTGAAATTTTAATCTACTATTTTTGGCTTAAATATTTATTTTATGTGTTAGAACTTAGAATCTAGTGTTCATATAATTTAATCTTGATCAATATTTTTAACAGAAAAATAATTAATAAAAAATAAATTAAAAACAAATAATGCTCTTGTTGAGAGTCGAACTCAAGACCTCCCGCTTACTAAACGGGTGCTCTAACCAACTGAGCTACAAGAGCTTTTGTACGTTTTGATTAACTAATTGATTTAAAGTTAAATTTGAGCCATTTAAAGTTAGTGACAATTAAGAAGATTGTTAAAAAAGAAAACAAATAAATATAATCAATAAATATCAGTTAGAAAAATGAAAGTTTTATCCAATATGTATACATCGTGTCTAGACTCTAATGATGCATTTTTTTAAATAATAAAGATAATCAATAATATTAGTGAGAATATTACTTTATTGTATCTTGTACTTTTTTCATTCATATATTGGATATATAATGGTTTTATAGTTCTGAATTTTAAAATTACTTTTATTATCCTTTCAAAACTAAGCTCAAAATTAAAACTAGCATTTTTGTTTCAGATTTTGAATTGGCAAGGCGTGAATTAAAATATATAATAATGTGATATTTGTTTTTTCATGCATGTATCTAACACGTTAGTTAAGACAAATAACATCAATATTAACTCATAATATTCCTACCGACAAGGGTGATGGTGAAATGGTAAGTACTTCTCATCCTTAATCAGAGGTACCAGGTTCGAGTTCTCTTGAGTACGGAGTTTGTTAGGGAGTGCTATATGAGACTTTCCGGCATGAATTCGAATTTAGTCGAACTCTAAAATGTATATTGAACACGAAAAATTAAAAAAAAAAACTCATTAACAAGTCTTATATATATGTCAGATTAGGATATTTTTACTTCAAATTTATCTTTGAAAAGAAGTTAGAGTGAAAATTGTAGCATCTTTAAAATTGTAAAAACTTTTTATTAAGAATAAAATAAAAAATTAAAATCACATAATTTCAATAATTAGAATAGGGGATATGATGTTTTTAAAATATTTTATTATATATCGGAAGTCAACCAAACAACAGGTCAACAACTTGAGTTTTTAAGAAGGTAACAAGTGAAATTAAAAAGAATATAAAAATAATAAAAATAAATTGGCAAAAGATGGAACTTATTCAAAGAGCAAAAGGAGGGACAAAAATAATTAAATAACTAAGCAAGGAATAATAAGGGAAACAAAATAAAAGGAAAGACATATATTAACAGCTTTTATTTATTGAAAATTGGATTTTAAAATATAAAAAAATTGAATAATATAAATGCAAATGAAAATACAGAAATTGGTATATTGATAAATGTTTCAAATGTTAAATGTTACTTTAATTAATCGAAAATAAAATTATTAAATAGAAATTATTAGGCCCATGCATAGCACAGACATAATGTCTAGTAGACTAAAGAAATGTTACATATATTAAAATTAAAGAGGATAATATATCAATAAATTCTTAAATTATAAAGTAGAATTAAGGGATAAGGGTCTGAAAAATATCTCAATTTTGGTCGAATTTGCTGTTGCGATACTAAACTTTCATGAGGACCTATTACCTTTCTAGACTATTTAATACCGTATTTTAAACATATATATTTTCCCACGTGGACATAAAAAATAATGCAAAATTATAAATAGTAATGTGTCCACGTGGGCACATATATACCTTTAAAATACACTATTAAATAGTTCAGAGGGTAAAAAATACGGTATTAAATAGTCTAGAGAGGTAATGGGTCCTTATGAAAGTTTAGTATCGCAACAGCAAATCCGATCAAAGTTGGGGTATTTTTCAGACCCTTATCCCTAGAATTAATGATGCAATTTTGTTATGGTAATCGATGATAATGATTGTTATGGGAGAGGAGTGGCGACAACAATAGTTGTTAGAAATTGTGGGATGATAACAAATATATTTGGTGATAGTAACTGGAGATGATTTTTATCGTATTAATCATTCAATAATGATGATTGATAATGAAATTTTTGTAATCGTAACATGTAGTAGTGAT